ACACATGCATGTATGAGTTTACTAAGTTGATGAATTAAATAAGTATACTGAATTATCTGGTATGTATACATGTATAAAAGTATTTCTGTATGTTTAAGTGTATTTGTGAAATAAGTTGAACAAACAAGTCAATATATCAATTTATTATGTTTAGTAAAAGATTGGACGAATAAAACAACATTTAATGGTCAAAATTTGAAAACAGGATTATGGTCCATGGGTAATCCGTGGATGATTTGCCATGGATTACCCACATAATAAAATCGTTTTTTCATTATTTTGTTCCATATTTCTATCGATTTACTATATAATGCATTCAAAAAATAACTTAATGAATATTATATTTATGGTTATGATATTGAAGAATTCATCGTTTTATTTTAAATCAAAATTGAAATTAAAGGCTCATATCTAATAAAATCAATATGACATTTAATATGTTTGTGTCAAACATTTGGACATAGTTGAAGTTGATTAAACGAAAAAAAAAGCAGCACGTTTTGAAATAAAATATAGACTCTTTTTATTCACTTTCAATAAAAAAAGAAAAAAAATGTGAATCGGGGTTTTTACAGAGAACAAACAAACGACTTAAGTTGCTAAAATTTTTAGGGATATATAATATAAATAATAAATATTTAATATATAAATATATATATATAAAAGAAATCTGATTCTTAGGGTTTTTCAGTTTTGCTTCCAGTACGCAGTCACGACTAACGCACGCCTCTGTTCATCGTTTCTCCTCCTTTGCAATTTGCGAGTTTTAGTCTGGAACTAGTTCAATCTTCATGAGTGATGAGTTCTGACTTCTCCTAATCTCCTTCAGTATTCAACTTCGTCTTCAATCGAGTGATCAACGGACTTCGTCTTCAATCGAGTGTTCACTGAGATAAATACGGAGGCATCGACAGACTTCCGACTCCACCTCAGATAATCTATACCTCCGATAATCTATTTCTCAATGTTGATTTCTGATTTCTGTTTGCACCTCAATACTTCTCAGTGTCACTTCAGATTTCTAATTTCTGGTTGCTGGTTATCTAGACTTTATGTATTTTCATCTATAACCACGATACTAGTAGTACACATAATAGATAAAACATTTTTCTGACTTCTTGTTGGAGTTAGTTGTTGATTCTAGTACACATAATACAATTTTCATTTCTAATGTTGATTGAATGAATGATTAAATGCTGATTCTGGTTGTTGTTGATTGTTTTAATAATATTATTGTTGATTGTATTGAGAACAAGCCATGTTTATGAGATGTTCTGGTTGTTGTTGATAACATGACTGATTTTTTGGTTTTGTGTGAAACATTTTTAGATTCATGTCGTTTTTTAAGGTTGGATTTGTAATTTTTAAGTTGCTAAATTTTTTTAAGCTTTTAAAGTTATGAATAATAGACTATGCTCGATCTCAACAAGGTTGGACCCCAAATTGTGGCACTATGCTCGATTTCAACAAGAAGTATTGCTATTTTCGTTAGAAAATGCAAGTATATATATATATATATATAGATATATATATATAGATATAATATATATATATATATATATATATATATATATATATTTCGTGTATTAGGTAAAAAGAGTAAACCACATTGCTACTAAGGATAAAAAAAATATTGCTATTATGGTTAGAAAATGTAAGTATGGTGCTATTAGGGTGATATATTTTGGTTAGTTAAAATTTTAAATTTGTATGTTTAGGGTTTGTTAAGTTATTAAAGTGGTATATTTTTCTTTGTTATTATATTGTTCATATATATGTTTTGGTTGTTTAAATAGTTAAAGTGGTATGTTTAGGATTTGTGAAATTGTTAAAGTGGTTGAAATTAATATGTTTAGCTTTGTTAAATTAACTTGGTGACGTGTTATGAGAAAAGTATGTTGCTAGATATAAGTAGGTTGCTATTATTGATAGAAAATATAAATATGTTGCTATTATGGATAATAAATGTAAAAATGTTTCCTATATTTGGTAAAAATAATAAACTACGTTGCTATTATGGATAATAAAAACAGATTATATTGTTATGGACAAAAAATAAACGTGGAGATAAGTTTTTCCGTAATATTATTGTTTGATTTAACATTTTTTTTTTGGTAAAACGAGTGCATACATTAGCTAATATTGCTTGCTTTACCATTTTTTAGATACAGGACTTGCAAACCTGACTCAATGAGTCCGAAGCCTGCCATCAACAAGAGTTGGAACAATTTCGAAAAGAATGTGAGGAATCCAAAGCACATCAAGAAACTATGGAAAAACATATGGAAGAACTTTAACAATTAGTGTTTAGGGTTTAGTATTTGTAGGTCTTGGTATTTGAAACTTCTCATAGATTAAGTTTATGGATTTGCTAATTGAAACTTTTGTTGATTTGATATTTGAAACTTTCTAGATTAAGTTTATGGATTTGATTGAAACTTTGTTGGTCATATTATATTTTTTCAAATTAGTTGCAAAAATTTGGATTTTGTGTAATTTGAAAATATATAATTTTTGAAATCTGTTATGTACCCACACACTATCCACAGAATCAACCAAAAAGAATATTTGTGGAAAATCTGTGGGTAAACAATTCTGTGGAAAATCTGTGGTTAAACATCCGTGGAAAATCTATGGGTAACAGAGCCGTGGAAAAGATGTGAGAAATCTTTTTGTGGATATTCCGTGGGTAATCTAGTCGTGGATGAGTCGTGGGTAACTTTGATCGTGGATAAATTATGGGTAATTTTATGGGTAAATTGTCTGTGGCAAATCTTTGGCTTAATATGTGCGTGAATAATCTGTGGGTAATTCTAAGGGTAATCTGTGGGAAAACATTACCCACGAGCTTTTTTCCACGAATCTGGTTTCGTCGAAAATCTGTGGTTAAAGACCATTACCCACTGATTACCTACAGATAGGGTCGTGGGTGAAGGTCTGTTTTGTTTTAGTGAATATATATATATATACTATATAGATATATATAGATATATATATATATATATATATATATATATAAAAGATGAGTTTAAATAGAGAATCATAATTAACAATGGAACCAAGAACCAATTTTTTTTCCAACTTTTAGAACTATTTTTTATCAATAAAAAACTAAAAATACAGAAATTCATAACTGTTTATCCTTTTTCCAATGATTTCAAATTCAATAAAAAAATTATTTTTTTCCGTCAAAATCATATTGTGAATCTGTGCAGATTCACAATGTGAATCTAAATTTACATGGTGAATCCAAAAAATATATAATTTATTTTTTTCAAATTCCTAATGTAAAGTTATGAATTTAGATATTTTTAGTTTTTTTTTTTCCAAAAAAAATAAACTCTAAAACTTGAAAAAATATTTGGTTTATTGAAGAACTATTTATAATGGTTGTCTATTGAACTATATATATATATATATATATATATATATATATAATAATATATATATTATATATATATATATATTTTCCATCAGTAGATATCTATTTTTTTGGTTTGTTTATATATAATTTTTGAAATTTAGACTATGGGGAGTTTTGTGCACCATCACCCTTGCTAGCATTGTTGTGCACTGACCCTGGCGTGCGCCAATGGGCCTAGCCAACCTCCACGTAGGTTCACCGGCGAAAAGAGAAAGAAAGGAAAATTGAATGCTGGTGGCCTTATAGCATCTCCAACTCATTGTCATTTTTCATATTTTTCTTCCATTTCTTCTCCCATTCCTCTCCAACCTACCTCATTTGTTCCCCCATTTTGGGTGAAGAATAGTATAACACCAAATATGGTGTTATACTATTCATTTCTCCTAAAATGGGGATGAACTTTGAGTTGTCGGTTTTAGTCCCTTTTTTTATATATTTATATATTACTAATTTATTTTTATCTATTAATTATAATTTAAATATAATATTTAATATTTATAATGATGTATTATATATTAAATTATATTAATTAATTATAAATATAAAGTTTATTTTTTGTTTATCAAATTCATATAATAATTTAAATACATATTGAAATTTTAAAACAATGTAACGTATTTTACTAAAGATTATAATTAAGTGTTATAAATATAATCTTATTTATTTAATAGTATTGTAATGAAAAAAAATATGGATTATATATTTGTTAAAACAAAATTAGTAGAAGGGATATGATTGATAATCTATATAAGTTGGAAGAATGTAATATAATTTTTGGGGGTAAAAATAAGGTAAAAAATAGAATAGGGTTAGAGATTAAACACTATTTACCTTATTTTTTACTCAATTTGGGGGGGAAAAAAAATGGAAGTGAATTGGAGATGCTCTTAGTCTTTTTTTTCTTTTAATTATTTTTACAAAATCAAAAGGCTATTGGTGTTTTTCCACTTGTTTTTTTTTTTTTTTTTTACAAAATCCTAGATCTATATATTTTTATGACAATTGACAACAGCTTAGTAGGCAAACAAAAATTTAACATGACAATGTGCTAATCTTGCTAGCTACGAAAGGGTCTATACTTTAGTGGAATGCTTGACGTAATACATCATTATTTATAAGTAAATTTAACATTTGAATGTGTTTTTACATATATCCACATATAAAAAACATTTCATCGTATAAAAAGCATTTCATCGTATAAATGACGTCTTTTTACAAATAAATACATATTTTCTTAGTATAAATACTTGTTTACATCTTAAACATATTTTCACATTTAACTTATGTATTGAATATATGTTTTTACATATATCCACATTTATAGGTACATATAAAAAACATTTCAACGTATATTTTTACAAATAAATATATATTTTCTTAGTATAAATACCTTTTTACATCTTAAACATATTTTCACATTTAACTTATGCAATGATAATTAAAAATACGGTGGTTTTAATTAGAAACAATTTTCATACACAAAAGAAAGGGTTTTGAATGCGAAATATGTATTATACGCAACAGAATACATATTTATTTGAATGAAGAAAAATACTTCATTAACTTATGTCATCTTCTACACCTTCTTCCCCAATGTTGCCTCGTGCGCTTCTTGTGCCTTCTGAGCCGTGAAATCTTTTGCTGCGATGGCCTTCTCAACAATAAAATCTTTTGTTTCGATGGCCTTCTGTCCAGTGGCATCAGCAGCTTCTTTTGTTTTCTGTCCAGCAAGGTTTGTGTACTCACCCACCTGCCCCATCAATGTAGTCTCCTTCTTGGGGACTTCAGGAGCTTTTCCCATCACAGCATCTTTGGCGCCAGTGAAAGTGCTAGTAACCGTTTGACATATGTTTCCAATGACACCAGGGTTCTCGGTAGAACCGGTAACGGTTGCATCCTGTGGTGAAGCCATTTGATGTCAAGATCAATGTATTGCACTCGAAACTTCGATTGAATATAAAAAGAAACTTGATTGGAAGATAGAATGTGTGAGTTGTGATTGGAAGAGAAGGAAATATATATAGGCCAGGTGGCTAATAGATGAAAAATCTTTAATCCTTGTAAAGGGTGAGATGAGATGTTAGTGGGTGGCGGTATTCATGCAGGTCACGTGTGTAAGAGTGTTTGTGTATGTCGACGGAAGATATGTGGCCTGGAATTGGACACGTACTTCAATGCAGAACTTATCTTTGTCGTCGACAACAATAAGTGATGGATAAAACTTTAACTTAATTTACATGACGAATTATCTTTTGAGTTCCTCGTATTTTTATATTGTATTGTCAAAATAACTATTATTCATGTTTTGAAAACTAATTAAATAACACAATAAATATGTTACATGCTGAAGCCCATCTCTCCCGTCGACAACAATAAATATCTTTTTTCTGAAATGGCTTAACTTATTTTGTTAACTCCCAAATCCATATATATATATATATATATTTTATAGATATATATATATATATATAGATATAATATATATATATATATTATATATATATAAAAGTTAATAAGCATTTAGCCTTAAATGCTGAATTTTAAGAGGTACAACCCTTAAAGCATTATACACAACAACTTTATGCCTTTGCAGAAAAATCAGATTTCATCTGGTCAACCATTGAAAGAGTCAACGAAACCTTGAAATCGCCCCTGTTATTAAGCGTTATTGTTTTGACTTGGGTCATTCCCTTATCTTGACATTCCCTATATCTCGGCAGTATCTGTTCATTGTTCTATATACTTGAAGACTCATTCAAATAGAAGTTCTAATCGCACTGCACTATTTGCCACCATCCAACTCTCTATACGGCGAGTTTTAAACCCAACCTCCTACCAAATACTTTCACATTCATTAACCCATTTCAATCTCTCTGCTCCAGCTCTTTCTCTCACAAACCCTAGTCGCACCACTCAACATATTGAACGAGTATTCCTCATGCCTACATTATCGGTCAACCCCATATACGATTTATATAACATCTTTTCCCAATTTAACCGGTTACCACCTCCAACCAATTTTGGAACCATGACCACCATCGTCCTCTGCCCTAAAATACCTAATGTTTCGATGGTTTTTTCCATTATCAAAGAAAATTGCAACCCTACATGTTGACTGTGAAAACAGAGAAAGCAGTGAAACAGAGCGTAGATGAACTAGGAAGAAGCACGTCATCCCTTAATCTGGGTTAAAGTGAAACAGAGCGTAGCTGTTAAACAATCTGGAAGCTGCTTATGGGCGATTATATGAGCTGATGTTTATTTTGAGCTACTATAAACTTGGTGAGAGAATTTCGGAAGGTATGTAAGTGGATGAAGCTAACTCTCTTCTCATTCACCTCCTATATCTCTCCACCGCCAAATCATATATCGCCTGCATCTGTTGTTCTCACGCTTCTCCCTCTGTCTCTCAAAGCAGATAAAGGTTACTCTTTCAAATTTGTTAAAAATTGAAGGAAGTAGAGATCGACATATGAAGACAGACCAATCGTGATTGATTTTGAGCTTGATCTTATAAAGTTGAAGCCTTCAACATATCAAGGTTAGCATCTCTTTGGGTTTTTATAGTTATCTATTGTTATGCCCGATTTTGGTTTTTTTAGGTTTTCTTATGAGGTTGTTTCTTTCCGTGCTTCTATCTAACATAGATGTTTGCAATAAGTGTTTGTACCCTTAAGCTGATTTTATGGTGTCATTGTGCAGGTAGGAAAGGTTCGAAGTTGTATTTTTCCTTTACTCTTCTAAGTGTTTTTATATCAATTTTTTTTTTCTAAAATGGTTGTGTTTGGACTGAACTACGTAGGATGCTAAGGAATGATTTAATGGGAATAATGCTGAAAATTGGATGTGTTGGGTATTTTATGTTGCGTCATGGGCTTAGTATTGTATATCCGGATTGGGCCTGTCCATCCGTGATTATTGAGTAGGGTTTAGCTATAAATAGTGCATGCATGTATGCCTTAAAAACTAACGTGATTATAGTTATTATTGCTTTGTAACCCTAAACACCTCTACAGTTGAAGTTCTTAATCGAGCTCTTCTAAGGTGTTAAAGTTTAATCATTCGACATCAGTTAAACCATTCATGTGTTCTTCATTACGTCTTTAATTGTGTTTCTGCTTAGAATCTATCGATCCGACCATAACTTTGTTCTAACAATTGGTATCAGAGCAGGAGACTGTGTGATCAATACACATTCCTTATGTGTTAAGAATTCTTTAGGGTTTTCGCTTTTATCGAATATAAAGAAGCCATCTTCTTCCTGTCGACGGTAACTCGTGTGTTTGATAAAACCCTAATCTCAAATTTACAGGTCTGATTCTAGCAGTTCTAAGGAAAGGCTCACCATGTCTCACGAAGATTCTCAAACTAATCCCATCAACATCTCCAACAGCATTGGATCTACTACAAGGGTTCCCATTCTTTACACTCAAGACTATGAAGTATGGGCGCATCACTTTGAAGATTATATGGTTAGATCTGAAGATAATGGTTATCTCATCTGGGAAGTTATCACGCTTGGGCCGTTTGTTCACTCTGGAACAAACAGGACAGTGAAGACTCAAAAAGAATATAATTAGCTCGTGACGGACGTAGATAAGATGCCACAGGATGAAAAGGACAAGGTGATATGTAATGTGAAGGTCATGAGAATGATCAGATTCGCACTGCAATCTGACACTTTTCGGTTAGTTGGTTCATGCATGACGGCTAAAGAAATCTGGGATAGGTTGAAAGAACTCTACTCAACCGATGAAGATCTAGAACACTCTATTCAAACCGTGCTGCTCTCATAATTTGGAGTTTTCGAACAGAAACCTGAAGAGAAACTGATACAAACCTTCGATCGCTTCAGTCATCTCCTTAGCAAGATGATCAAGCATGGTATAGAAAGAAAATTGATCGAGCAAAAAAGCAACCTTCATGAATAGCTTAAGACCAGAATGGATGGCAGTGGTTTCAACAGTGAAAGCTCACGAACAATTAAAATCTTACTCACTAGCAAAACTGGTAGGCATACTTAAATCCCATGAGAGTGTGGTAACCAAGGAGGCGAAGATAGTTTCGGGTGTGGGATCGTTGGCCCTTGTATCAAAAGGAAAATGTGTTGCAGAAGAAGAGCAGGAGTCAGATATATCTGAGTGTGACCTTACAGGCGAAGAATATGCAATGATGGTCACCAATCCAAAGAAGTTTGCACGAAAGAAGTTCCCTGTCAATAAGAACCGAAACTGGCAAGGAAGTTACAGTTCTGAGAAGGTGAAAGAAGAAACGAAGAATACCTCTCAAAAAGATGATGACAAGAAGGAAATCAAGCTTGCAGGAGACTCTGGATTCAATTGCAATTACTGTCATGGCAAGAATCACTTTGCCAAAGATTGCATGCTAAGGAAGATGGCTGAGAAAAGGGATGGTGAAGATGATGAGGCGTACTACATGCGAAAGTTGGAAGAAATCAAGAGAAAGAAAGCAACTAACAGTTCAATGAATGCCTTGATTGTGCAGGAAAATATGGATGAAGATGAGTTCGGTGGCGTTGAAGTCTGGTCAACCGATTCTGAGGATGAAGAAGTAAGAAAACCCACACATGGAAGAGCTTATGTGGCAAGGGATACTGGTTCGGCTGGAAAATGTTTGATGGTTACAGCTGGAAGACCAACCGAAAGTGAGCATAAGGAGCCAAACCTGACTGAGGACAAGTGCTTTGCAGCCAAACCCGTGATTGAGAAGATCAACGACTGTGATCGGCTGATCAAAAAGGTACAATCCATCCTTGAATCACTTAAAGTTCCAGTAACAAATTATGAAGAAAAAATTAAATGAATTAAAATTTAAATTTTCTAACTTAAGTGGTAGTCTCATGCAAACTCTCTTAGCGAACTCTAACCTAACTGACCAACTCAGCAGGGTGTCTTCAAAGAGTGAGGAGAGAAGGATGTGGATTGAGCTGAAGGAGACGGAGTTAAATAGGGCTAGGGATGAGATTATTTATTTGCAACGAGACAATTTAAAGTTTTTGAAACAACGGAATGTTTTTTGCTTAATTGCTAAACACTTATATACAAATATTGCTCAGTTGCACTTAAGTTGTGAAATAGGGAAAAAGAATGTGAATCCATAATGTCCTCAGAAGAGACATCCATCGCTTATAAAATCGGACTAGACAAGATAGAGACCTTCATTGACTCTAAGGAACATAAGTGTATGCTCAAAAATCTTTTAGATGAAAATGATAGGTTAAAAATTAAGTCCGAGACCATTCAATCATTTGACTCGTCTAATGCCAAATTAATTTCAGAACATAAAATGAATATAGAAAACACGTCTGAATTTGATGAGGAAAGTGAGATGAGCGAAATCTCGGTAGAAGATGTGGTTGATTGCTCTGAATTTATGAAGAGCGAAACCGAGAATAAGAAACCCCTCATATCTGAAAACTCGGTTGAATATGCTCGCCTGTCAAAGGCCATGCCAGAGAAACTCAAAGAGAAAGCAATGGTTTATCAAAAGATTCAAACTGTGTCAAATCAGGTATATGCTGTTACAGGGGTCACTGCAAAACAAACAGCATAATTGAAAATCTTGGTCGACACAGACAATGCTGAAGGGTGCGACGATTATTTCTGGTCAGCCCCTATTGATAACGCAGACGAAACCATCGGCTTATCGGAGCGAACCTCATGGAGGGTAAAAGGTAGATATGTTGCTGAACCCATCAACAAACCCTCAAGTTTTGACAAACCAAGCACAAGTGGAACAAAAGAGATACCTGAAGAACCAAAGAAAACACCGAATGTTCCTTCCAAGACTACCGAAACTCAAAAGGAGAAGCCAAAATCAAGCTTCAATATTCATAAATCTCAAAAGCAGTTAGCTGAACAGAAACGCCAAAGAAATCAGAGATACATGAAA